TTCAATATAATATTCCTCATTCTCACAGTTTTGTATCAATTTCCATTATAAGCTGATTTTCTCAGCAGCCAAACATAAAAGGACTGACTTGACGGTACTGATGAATACGTCTAAATTCTTTCTTTAAAGTGCATTTACTGTGCTTCTCAATGTCCACTTTACGATTTCTAGTTTTCTCCGAATCTTTTCAGTACTACCGGTAACGACGCGAACAAACAAGTATTTTGTTCAACCAAACTTTGATATTATACTTATTTAATTTATTATGTTATATAAGCTTTACAATCCCATGCCGCAGTATAATTATAACAATAAAGTTGAATTTGTCTTTTACCAAACTATGAGAAGTAATCCAATTTAAAAACAAATTGAAAATGTATTTTTAAGTTCGATCAACATAATAAATAATAAATACTTTTTTTTAATGAAAATTCAAAAAATTCACCAATTTGTTATTTCAATCTTTGCAACAAATTGGTATATATATTTGTTTCTTTCTTTTTTTTTTTTTTTCATAGACAGATATTTATCAACAATTCAATCGATTTAAAAACAAAATCCATAATTCATTGAAACGCTATTGAATACACAGCAACGTTAATAATACTTATTTATATATTCTATATAGAAATAAGTAAGCCCCTCAATGGCATTTGAAAGGTAAAAGTCTATTCGACCAACAATTATCATATGTATCCTTTTGCAAACGTAATTATATTAAGCGAATCTACTTAATTAAATATTTTGACGAAAATGTTAATATAATATATAAATATACGTCTACTCTTCCATTGGAAATAAATTCTTAATTCATTAAATAATTAATTCATTATAAATTCTTATAATTCTTATAAAACAAAATAATATTAGTGAATTTACAGAAAAAAGTGATTTTCTGATAAACAACTTTATTTATTGAGCTATTAATTTAATGAATAAACATAGTTAATTAATCGTCTTTACAATGGATGAAATTATTACTCCAATACTCTCTCGTAATAATATTCGACATGATAACAAAATTCAATTGAAATTAATTATATTTTTTTTGAAAAACCGCCATTATAATATCATAATTAAAAATAAATAAAAAATTAAAAATAATTTTAATACTGAAAGCAAAGAACTTAATTAAAGATTAAATAATATAGATTTATATTGTAAATAAATAACAGCAATGTTTACCAATTATTTCAATTGACTATTAGTTGCAAATTTTTACTAACAAGTTAATTTTTATCTTATTTTTGTAAAAAATAATAAATAACTTTCTATCCGGGTTTGAATAAATGTAAGTTGATTTCAGATGTAAGCAATTTTTAAAACAGTTAAATAATTACAATAACAAATTACCAATAAAAAATATTGAATATGAATATTTTTATAAATATCTCACAATAGCGATAAATTTTTCAATTTAATGTTTACCTGAATATATCAAATTATCTTGATATATTTACCTGATCTTGATATATTATACATTCTACATATGGACATATTAATTATTTTCCATTAATTATTCTGAACATATAAATTTACATAAATCTTGAGTTAATTAAATCAACGTAATTGGAGTAGCGAATTATTAATTCTGGAAGTTTTGTTAATAAAATATCAAGCAGCTTTGCTCTATCAAGAAAAATTATTATAAACCGGAAAAACAATTGATTAAAAAATACAAAATATGAACATTCAGTAATACGTTAGCAGAGAAGTGACTTATAAAAAGTCATAAAATCAATATCGTTATATGATCACACATCCACTACCTTTTATTTTTAATTATCATAAAAAATGATCCATCTTTTACCTTCTGAAATTAGAAATATTATTAATGATTATTATTTTTATGAAAAACATGCTATATGTTAATACATCTCATTATGTTTATTGGTTTACATTTTTTACGATGGTGATGGATAAAAGATACTCAAAAAAACTCTAAAGTTTTGTCTAAAAACAAAACAGCATCCATTAATATAGATTTATTTTTAAAAAATCCACTCGTTTTCGATTTAATTTCTATATTAAATTACAATATAAGAATAGAGTGCGGATTTTATTTTTGCCTCAATGTTAATTTCTCTGTTAAATTTAACTATTCAAATAAAAATTTATTTCATGTTTTGCATGAAAATAAAATTTTTATTATTATTACTTGTAAGAAATGTGCATAATAATTTCAAAGGAATTTAATTTCAAAATCAGAATTATTTTACGAAAATTTATCTACTTATTCGGTATTAGCTTATAAGTAAATAACTATTTTATTTTAGTGCTTATTAATATTAAATAATTGGATTCACTATGGAAATTTTATAGGCGATATCAAATAATTAAGACCCCAAAAACATAGTTTAGTATATTGTAAGCATAGTTCTGTATAAAATAAAAATATGAATATACGTGAGTTATATGAATAGTGATTTAACTTTTAATATGTAAGTGAAAATATATATTTATATATTAATAGAGACAGTTTAATACGATTTAAATATCAAATTTAATCTAAAATAATTATATATTTTATATAATATGTTTTTGCCATTTAAAATAATCTCATAACTTATGGCTATACTTGGACCGTTAACTTTTCCTTAAATAATAATATTATTATATTAATTTAAATAAAATGAATATTCATGCATTTAAGTTTAAAAAGTAGTGTTCATAATTTTCAATACTTTTCCGATCTATAAAACAATATTTTTATATAATACAATGTTTGCCTTATGTAAAGCAGTAAAAGTATTTACTAAAAGTATTTAGCAGTCAAAGCTCAAGGCCCTTAGATCGAGTCTAAGCTTTCATCAATATATTGTCGATATTTTTTATATAATTTCATTGGAGTGCTCATTAATTTATCATTTTGATCATGTGTAAATATTTAAATTTTGTAAATGAAAAAAATTAAAATTTGTAACAAATGATAATGATGGAAATATTAAATATTTATATATTATAAACAAGTATAATACTTGTTTTTTTTTGTTTTTTTTTTCAATTATGTCAGCAATTTCTAATTTAGTATTTGTCTCAAATGAATTGTTTGTATTTATTGTACATCCATAGTATAAATATTTATAAAAGTGTATAAATACCAGTCAAATTACTCAAAGCTACAATGATATTTTTCCTCTATTTGCAAATATGGATGAAATTATCAATTGCAATTCAAAAGAAGTAACTATTCGACAAAGGCTATAAAATCACATAAATCAACATATGCAGAGAGAAACAAGCACAAGTGTGCAAAACTTGGAATATTCAAGGGAGACAATTACAAATTAAAATTCAAATGATAAATTCTCATAATCTGCATTACAAATGCTTCGTTCTATTATTTTTGATCAAAATAGAACAATAAATCCATCATGACATATGTATTTTGTTACTTCATTCATTATAACGTAGGCAATGCCATAAGCACCGTCACGGAAAAATCATACGATTGAGCAAAAAATTACGATCGATAATGCACTCTGATCCGCGATATTAATTTATAATGAAGTTTAGAAAAGTACATTCACAACGACCTTAGCCGAAGTGGAAAATTATTCGAAAAGTGCACGCTCAGTGCCGAATTGCGAAAAAGCCATCGAGCACAAATATTACATCGAAATAAATAATTCAGACCACAGTTCGTTGCATATAAATATCGTCCGAGAGCACCCTAAAGATCAAAGTGCTAAAGCGTTCGTAGTGACGGGGCGAATATTTTTCTACGGGGCACGTCTATATTTCTCTTTCTTACCATGCAAACTGAAAAAAGCGAGATTTTCCGAGAAAACGCCTGGGCTATGATTCATACGCGCATGCCGCGATCGACTTTGCAGGCGTTTTACGAATAAGGCCGGCTTCGCGTGCGGTTTTTTTATCTCTCTCTCTCTCTCTCTCTCTCTCTCTCTTCCCGCGTGCGATGCATGAAATTTCATGAAGCTCGCGCATTGTTTTGCCGGCTTTCTTTCTTACGGTCGAGCGAAATTCGCGCGTAAAATGCACGATGCCATAATCTCGCCTTCTTTAGAATTTTATGGCTTGTCGGTATTAGCATAAAAATAGATTGACAATAAAGGAATGCCTTCGCTATTCATCAAGCGTGGATCGAAAGTATTTTCAAATGATCGGACGTAGCTCCAAATTACTCGTAGTAAAGAGTCGTCAGTGTTTTACGATTGCGTTGATGTGACACATGAATTGCTTTTATATATGGAGCTCGGAGTGAGATTGAAGATTGTGGCTACAAAAATAATAAAGCAAATGACGGCCGAGCTAACGCGCTTATAAAGATAAGCTTTACCAAACGAATTATTAAGGTAGCCTAACTAATAAGCGAGATAAGGTTGATGCATTTAAGAGGCAATGATGTTTAATATTTTTTTTTATACAATTGGATTAGATCGCTCAGTGGCAGAGAATAACTTTAATTTATTTTGATAATATTTAATGGGCGACAATTAGCATAAGTATTATAGCAAATTCATCGATTCGTCATAAGAAATTTATCAACTTCGTAATTCATAATTACCTTTAAGAACTGAGAATAGTTCATTTGCGCCATCCAAGTATACTGCATCTTACATGATATTTGAACAAACGATTTAAGTAGCGTTGTTTTAACTTAATTTTAAGATATTATCAAATAATTATTATGGTAAAACTAATTAAAAATACAATGTAAAAATTATACTATAACAGTAATTGTTGGAGAAATTAATACATTTTATTATGTACTTGGTTATGCATATTAGAAAAAAGGACCATAGTTTATTATAGTAATCAGCGTTATACTTGTCTCAATTATGTAATACTGGAAACTAAATTGTAGCATTTCATCTGGAGTAGACATTTAAGTGAAAACGTAAGTGTTTAATAAAAAGGTAATTGATCAATAGAAATACTCAAATAGGTAAAAAAAAAAGTGATCGTAAATGATAGGTTATTAATAAAGTATTAAGCGTAGGAAATATGTACGTTAATCGTAAGATAGTTTCAGAGAAATGAAGGGTCAAGGTAATAGAAGTCGGGTGAATTTTTATACTATGGTGATGGATTCGACTTTTATGTTGTGCATTTGTTTCAACTATTTATTAAGAAATCATTGGAAGTGGATTTAAAATGTAAAATGTCGTATTTCATCTGGAGATTGGGAGTGTAAAAAATATACCAACGACTATAATTTCTTATTTTTTTTTCCCAAGCAAATCGACTTACATAGTTTTTTTTTTTTTTTTTTTTTTTTTATCGTAATTGATTTATGTAGACCACATTTCAAAATACAAAACAATTTATCTATTGTTAGCAATCATTAAATAAAATCTGATCTCAATGGAGATTTAAAATATCTTTGCTTCATACTTAATATTAGCTATTTCGAATTTAATTATTTGGTTTAAATTATATTCTATAATTGTTTACTCGAACCTTTTAAATAGTAATTTCGTATTTTGCGTAAGAAATGGGGACATGTTTTTCAAATTCCTAAAATTTAATTATAGATTTTACATCAATGGTATATTAAAAATTTCTAGTAATCCATTTTGAAGAAAATTGGATTCTTATTTTCAATGAACAATTTTGCCCAATCATTTCAAATTTGCAAAGTGAAATTCTTATACATAATTATTGTTCAATGAAAGTTTAAAAAATTAATGTAAATAATTAAAAATTCAAATAATACTAAATAAAATTATTAACTTCTAGAATATTAATGGTGCTAAAGACAAATTTTATTCTAATTTTTATAAAATAATTTCTCATATTGTAATAAAACTCGATTTCTTTCGACAATTTCTCGATTATAATAAAAAGTAATTTGATTTAATTGGCTTAATTGATTTTATATTATTTAATTTAATAATTTAATTGACACTTTGTGATAAAGTACCTAGAATATTAAATTTAAATGATTTGAAACATTTTTTATCAAAGATAAAATTCATTGTTACTTCTAATAAGCTTTTTCAAGAAAATTATTATTTTTAACATTAGATACAATCATCATAGATATAATTAACTAATTAATTATTTTCCTTTCAAGGGATACTACTTGGATAAAGCTATTATTCAACTTTTTAATTATTGAGCTTCATATTGTCACTAGTCACATTAGCAAACAGATAATAATGTTAGATAAATGAATGAATAAATTTTGAATATTGTCAAGTACATAGTTTTAGAATTAAATAAAATAATAACTCGTGTGCTTTTTAATTTGAATTTGAACGTCATATAAAGGATTACACTATATTCTCGAAGTTATGAAATTATGATAAGATTATTATTTGCACTTTATGCTATGTACGTATTCTGCTTGTAATTCTTCGGGATTTTATAATGGGAAATTTAAATATTTAATCGACATTGCGGAGAATATTTTCTAAATATAAATTGGTATTGCAGATTTATATGTTCAAGAAATATTCAAGTTTTTTTTAAACAGAATTGACTCTGATGGAATGTCATACGATTTAATCTGACAGCGAGATATAAAATTTTATGAAAGGTTCACTTTATTCTGAGTTTTGCCAAGTAAATTTAATGAAATATACTTCATCAATATCTAATAGTCTAATAATCTAACTTTTTACTATTAACTTTTCGGGCTTCTTTATCCAAGTTGAGCAAGAAAAAAATTATAAATTTTATAAAATAAATAATACAAAAAATAAATACACAACACAAATTATATTAAAAAACAAAAACATTTATGGACGCTGAAAAATATATCAAAAATACGAAATATTTTCAATATAATCTCATTATTTAGTTGTTAAATTTTTATTCATTTCAACAATAACATCCTAAATTAAAAGCTTTATTTATTCTATTTATTAATTCTATTGAAAACAATAAATTGTCAATTTTGTAAAACTTTCATTCGGAAAAGCTGTTCAGAAAATTAGATCTTAAAAAATTTGTTAAGCAATCCATTATACTTTTCATTTACACTTGTTTTTACTAGCAATTAGTATCAATCTTTAACTTCTGTTAATCAAGATATATAAGTTTTAGATTATGTGGAGATGGTTTACGTTTATCCCATTATGAATCAGCAACAAATGATTAACTGCTGGCATAATTTATAAAGTTGTACAAGTCCTCTAGAAATGTTGCAACTATATCTCTCATACTGTCCTGTCACTCTTAAATATAATGATTCTTCGAAAATACTTACGTTTAATTAAACAAAAGGTCTATTCATTATGATACATTCTTATAAATAAATCATTAGTAGATGTATAAACAATATTTATATTTTATTCGTTAATTCGTAGCTTGTATATGTATTAGAATTAAATAAAAAAATTTCAATAAATATTGTCGTAATATGTATAAAATTATATATTTTAAAGTAACAATGCCTATTGACATATTTGTTCATGCATTGTCAATGTTTAAATGTAACGTCATTATAATTCCAAAAATTCAAATTGCGATTGATAATAGATCACAAACTTGGACTTTATTTTATAAAAAGTTTTGCTACCTATTAATCCAACTATTGCTGCATACTGGATTAATGAATACTCTCTTTACCAATGAAATCTTTGTCCCCGAAGAGACATCACAACTCAAAATTAGATCAATATCATAATACCTTATATTTAAACTTCTGAAATTAAACAAATAAATATGATTTCATTCAGTATAATATTTCCCATAATTATTTCATTAACTTTAGTATATAAGTTTTAACCTACAATATTTAAATAATAGATATCCTTTAAAATTATGTTAATAGAGGTGTTAATAAATCAATGAAAATAATAGTATAATAATATAATAAAAATAAAAAAAAAATAAAAATAATAAAAAAAATAAAATATCCATATTCATAAAAAAAAAAATTTCTTTCTATGTTGTATCTTTTCACTAAAATAATACCGATCACTCATGTTATTAAAGATCGAAATTTCATCGTCAGTTTACCGAAAAAAAAGAGAAAAAAAATCTTATTTCATCAATATTCATACAATTGAAAGATGTAAAAAAATATAAAACATTGTATCGCCCACCATTCTGAAATAAATTCAAAATGAACTAAATTAATGGTAAAAGAGGCAAAACGAAAGTAAAAAGGGAACTCGGTGAAAATTTTATCTGACTGTGCGAATCCATAGGATGGGGCAAAGCAATAATAATACTTAGTAATGCTGAAAAGTATATCCTGCTTTATCGAAGACCGCCAGCAATGAGCGGGTGACGTCAGCTGTCCTGAGAGCTTGTCGCCTATGGGGTAAGTTAGCATAAGATGTAAGTAAGTGAGCAAAGGTACAAGCAAAGGCAATTACGTGAGAGTAGAGATGAATGTGCCCGGAATGATCGAGTGGCCGTAGAAAACTATAGAGACAAAGAGATGGACTGAGATAGAAAGAGAGAGAGAGAGAGAGTCTGCGCGCGCGCGCGCGTGTGCGTGTGTGCGTGTGTGTTGGTGGGGGAGGGGGGTACGCGTGCGTGTGTGAGAGAGAGAACAGGTGAGCTCTGCTTGCGGCTCGACCGTGACGTAATTTCAGTGCCAGAGAAAGTGAATTGAGAACACGCCCGAAAGCGAATGTAAGCGTTACGTCCTTAGGAGCGTATAATTTTTTATTTTTTTTTTTAGTTTCCAACTCTTAATTCATCTTTTCGTTTATTATTCTTCTTTCTTCGCTTTTTTCTTTCAAATATCTACGTTCTCATCTCTACCCCTACCATTTTCTTTTAACCTGCGGATCCTGATTTCATTTGTATGTGTGGATTAAGTGCGCAAAGTGAGGTGCGCGGATTTTAATTCGAATTTCACAAGGATGTGACAAGGTGATAGAGAGAAAGAGAGAGGTAAGGATTATCGAAATATTCTGGAAAACCTTGCATTTGTTTCTTTTAACTGTAACAAAAGACCGTAAAACAACGCATTTCGTTACTCGCGAAAATGCCTGTTGAATTATCGAAACAGCGTCGCTTCCAGATATACGAGTAAGAGTTTTCATTATAATTCGATTGAAAATATGATTTATAATATTTATTGTTTAATAATTTATCAGTATCATTTAACAAAATGATTTTACATTATGTCTAAGATTTTTAAAAAAGTGACAAAATATAGATTTAACTATATATTATTTAGATATATGGAGATAAAGTAAGTGAGTAAAGTACTTAAATGAAACAAGAACAAAAATGTTTTTATGTAAATAGTCAATTTTTATTCTAATTAAATAAAAGCAAATTCCTTTATTTAATTACTTTATCAAATTACCTGCCTAGTTTTAATTTTTCAAAGAATATGTAAAACACAATTTAGTAATATATTATTTTAATATTGCATTGATATATTACTATTAATATTATCAATAACCATAAGAGAATCTCTTCATTTTAATGACATAATACTATTTATTTATAGAAATTAATGTTTACATTAAAAATAATTGATCATACATAGTATCAAATAAAACATTCTTGACACATAGGAAATTGTTAATTAAAATCATTTTCTAATTCACTGAATCTATTAAAATAAAGATCATAATATATATATATATATATATATATATATATATATTGAAATGTCAATTAACTAATATCATGCAGAATAATCAATAATCTTCATTGATTCTTATAAAATATTAGCAATTATTTTATAGATTGACTCGATCGAATGCACATCGCATGCGTGACAATGTGCGGTATGATTAAATTTGCAATCTTTAAATCAAATGATTAATTATAAATAACTTAATTGAATAGATTTTTTTCGATAATAATATATCTATATATCATGAGATACAAAAGAAAAATCTTTGCAAAATAAATTTTATTAGACATATAATGAAAAGACAAGTGATATATAACCATCTAATGATAATATATAACATTCAAATATTTCAATGTGTAATGATGATTAAAGAAAATTGCATTACATTCAATTTTAAATATACTTATTTGAGTAAAAATAATCAAAATACAAAATAATCTTCTTAATGGTTAATTGATTAATTTTTAAGCTTCTACATTACACCGAATCAAAT